CCGCCAGGGAAGCGGGGAGGAGGCGAAAAGGAGGAGCCAAGGAGGAAGGAGGGGAGGAGGGAGAGGCTGGGGGGAGGGGGTCGAAAGAGAATCGTTCTGGAGGAGCCCAGGGCTCCTCGCGAAAGTGCCCGCAGCGCCCGGAAGCGTCCAAAGGCCGGGGTGCTGGGGAAGACGAGGAGGCCTCTTGAGGAACCACGACGACTCCAGCGATGACGCAATAGTTATGCAAAATGATACATATATATTAAAACTCCACCCGGAAGGCAGGATCCATCCTATCGGCCTCTTAAGTGCACAACAGATCTAGAAATCAGGAAAGAAGAAAGGCCAAGAGTTAAAAAAAAGACTCCCGGAGAGGGTGGACCCTGAGCTGGGAAGCAGGGACTCCTGGCTCATTGCTGGCCCCTCCCCCCTACGCCTTTCACCGCACGAGCTTGAATCATTACTAAGAAACTGGTGACCAAAGGAGTTAAAGCATCTTGAACCACTGAAGGACCCCTAACCAGACAGTGAGGGGAGACCCTGCTGGCTCTAAGACAAGGCAAATGTACCTGGGCTTCTTCCCCTGGAGGCGACATTCTCCGAGGGCCCCCTTTCAGTCCTTCGAAGGCGTTGGGTTTGGATTCCTGAGAAGTGCCATACCTTTGTACTCTGAAGGCCTGTGATTGAGGGGGCGACCCTGGCTGAGGAAAGCTTGAAAGCACCCGTTTTGCCGAGACCGTCACTAACCAACAGTGCTTTTTTGGATTTCGGGCACGGTGTGGGGGGAAGACTTGCACTCGACGCTGACACCGCACACCCTCCCAACCCCCCACCCCGGCTGTCTGGAAAGAAATCTCTTCTTTTCATTGATTGACAAGATTCGAAAATGCTGTGCCCGGACAGCGCAGAGGTCAGCTGGACCGTCTCCCTTAGGTTGTGGATTAGCAAACTGAGAGCTGGAGAAGTGAAGTGGTTATTCCAAAGGCTAGTAACAGCGTTCACGGACTTGAAATGGGCAGTTATATCCCCATCTGTCTCTTCCTGGACTCCAACTCTCAAACCCCTAATCTGATTTCAACTCTCCCAGGAAGACTACATGGATTGCTGGAAATTCCTTATGGATTCACCCCGAGCATCTCACCAGACCTCTCCCTCGGCATTGGAGTGTGGGTATTTGCATTGCCTGCTGCTTTGGATTGTGCAGTGAGCCTGGAAGATGCTCGCCATATACTCAATTACGGGTTTACGAAGGCAGTATAGTGCTTTGAAGGAACCCTGGCGGTGCAGTGGTTAAAGCGCCAGGCTGCCAACCAAAAGGTTGGCAGTTTGAACCTACTGGCTGCTCCACAGGAGAAAGATGTGGCAGTCTGCTTCTGTAGTAAAGATCACAGCCTTGGAAACCCTATGGGGCAGTTCTGCTCTGTCCTATAGGGTCAGTATGAGTCAGAATCGACTCCACAGCAGTGGGTTTGGTTTAGTGCCTGGAAGTCAGACAGGTCTTGGTTCAAGGCCAGTCTCTTCCATTTTCTGTTAGAAAAGAAGAGGGTTTGCCCTCTTCTTTGCTTATAGGACCATTTGTTCCAGCAGCATTTGCTGGAACTGTGTTCTGAAAGAGGGATTTATGAGAAGAGGTTAAGGAGATATTGTAAGTGACTCAGCCATGAAACTTGAATTTGGTCCCAGGTCTGCCACTAGTTGCAGTGTGACTTTGAGCATGTCACCTCCCTTCTCTGGGCCTCAGTTTCCTCATCTGTAAAGGTGAGCTCATTTGTAAGGATAACATCGGGTCTCAGAGACCTGGACCCTTAAGAACTCTTAGGCCCTTCAGAATGTGCCCTGAGGGATCCTGGGAAGTGCTTTAGGACAGGGAAGGAAGCAGTGGCTGGAGATAATGAGGGATGGCGCTGGCAAAGACTGCCCCAGGCCTGCCCCAAGACTGGAAGGTAGTGGTTTCTCCAAGTCTTCTCCCCTTCAGGACTGACGGTTCCCAACTCTCAAACTGCTTCTCTGAAAGGCAGACATTTAGTAGGGGTCCTGGGAGCTGGAAAATCAGTTCCAGAAGGTTGAAAATGGCCACGGACACTGGGTTCTGGATACTCAAGGAGAAGCTCTGGGAATGTCAGAGCACTCCAAGTGGGGACTGATGTGAGATGAGTCATGCAGTGGTGACTTCACTGGTGGTGGTGACCTCATACTTTTGGCCCATAGAAATGCCAAAACTGACTGCCAGGAATACTTAGAGCCCTGGGGCTGATCAAACCCCGTGTCTTAGTTACCCAGTGCTGCTATAACAGAAATACCACAAATGAGTGGCTTTAATAAACAGAAATTTATTTTCTGACAGTTTAGGAAGCTAGAAGTCTGAATTCAGGGCACTGGCTCTAGGGGAAGGCTTTTCCTCTCTGTTGGCTTGGAGGAAGGTCCCTGTCTCTTTTGAGTTTCTGCTCCTAGGTGATCTTCGTGTTGCTTGGCACCTCTCTTCCCCATCTCTACTTCTCTTGCTTGCTTGTTAAATCTCCTTTATATGTCAAAAGAGATGAACTCAAGACACACCCTGCACTAATCTTGCCTCATTAACATAACAAAGACAACTCATTCCCAAATGGGATTGTAACCACAGGCATAGAGGTTAGGATTTACAACGCGTATTTGGGGACTCACAATTCAATCCATAACGCCCAGCATGTACGTGGGGGGTGGGGAGAGAAGAATTCTCTTGGATGCCCCCATGTCAGCGCAGGAATGCTTTGGCTGGAAGGACCAAACAGACCTCACTTTCCCATGGCAAATAAGATAATGTCACAGGGTTAAACACAGTTCTCAAATTTGAGAGATTTGAGACAGGGAGCTACTTTGTTTCAAATTATCTCATAGGCTCTGAGTTTTCCTCTTTAGTGTTAACTGCCTGTTGAAACAGACACAGGTCGGGGTGAGAACAGTGGAATTTCTTCTCAGCCTTCTCCTTCTCTGTTTCCTCTACTTCCTTCCTCTTCCTCTCCGTTGATTCATTCTTGCATTTATGGAGGTCTGCTAGATGCCAGGCTTTATTCCTGAGCAGGGAATGGGGAGCTGGAAAGCTGCAGGTACTGGAGCGCGAGGCAGAAAGAACTAATGAGCAAACAGAGAATCGCTGTATAATGTGATCAGTGCTGTGGCGGAGGATGAAGAACAGGCTTCTGGAAGTGCGGAGTAGGCCATTAGTATTTAGCTACGAGTGTCCTGAGGAAGGATTTGGAGTAGAGCTGCCATTGGCCTGGGTCTTAAGAGGCTGGTAAGAAAGGCAGAGAGCCCCATCCATGCAAAAGGCACCAATGTGAAGTGGAACAGCACACAACATCCTGGGGATAGTGAGCCATCTTGGGTGGACAGAGTGCAGGGCTTGAGGGATGCAGGGGAGGTGGTTTATATTTAACTGGGAGCCATGCATTAGAGCCAGTTCATGGACCTCTGAAAGTTATATTAAGGAGTGTGGGGCCCTGCCTGGCTGGGCAGTCTGTGCACTGCACAAAGGTAAAGGACTGAGAGGGCCAGTGGGGAGAGATCTGGCCCCCAGGCTACCCACAAAGCCTTGACCCTGGCTCAAGGCTGTGTTCGTTCGAGGAAAAGTTACTTTTTTCTTATCACAGAGGTGACTTCTGTTTGTTCAGTCCTCTCCCCGTAGGGCTGCATCCCCTCAGAAGGAAGCACCTTTCTTAGCTTTGTAAAAGACAAAGGCACTGTCTAGGCAAGCAGCCCTAGTGGTGCAGTGGTTAAAGCAATTGACTGCTAACCAAAAGGTGGGAAGTTCGAAACCATCAGTGGCTCTGCGGGAGAAAGATGTGGCAGTCTGCTTCCGTGGAGATTTGCAGCCTTGGAAACCCTATGGGGCCACTATCGGTCAGAATTGACTCGATGGCAGTGGGTTTGGTTCTTTTGGTTTTAGGCGAGCAGTGGCCCTGGGAGTGAGGGTGTGATGAAGGGAAGGAATGAGAATTTGTGTAGCCTCTGCTGTGTACTGTGGCTGTACTGTACCCAGGCTCTGTGCTGGGTACTTGGTGTTTACCTACGTCGGTTGTCTTATTTAATCCCCAAAACAACCATGCCAGGTAAGATTTGTAGAAAATATCTGTTGTTTCGTCTATCCAGAACAGCACCATCGCTTCTGCTAAATGTTCTTTCTAACTTAACTTGTAATCATGTGGTTCGAATGGAAGCTGCCATCTTCTTACCCACCCTGCCCCTGACTACTGTTGATTAGCCCTGGGTGGGTACCTGATCCAACATGGAGCAATCAAAGCCTTTCCCTGAAAATCTTGAACTTGGGACATGAAACAGAAGTTTCCCCTCTTTTCCTAACTAAACTGGAAGACGTGGGCCTGGAAGTTGTTGGCCACTTGTGTTTCAGCAACGTGGAAATAGCCAATCAGGGGAAAGGAAGCTAAAGTGCAGAGAGAAGCAAAAATGGAGAGATGATTGTTTCTTAAAGGCAGAGAGAAAACAGGCCGTTTGTGAGTTCCTGGTTCTAGTTTGCCCTGTAATTCTGTTGCACTACTGTTCTTCCTTCAGTTAGTCACTTGACTTAATAAATGCTCCCTCCCCACCCTGTCTTTTTTGCCTAGGAAATATGGGTTAGTTTTCTGTCACTGGTAACCGAAGGAATCCTGACTACTACAG